CCCCCCCCCCCCCCCCCCGTGCTGTTTGTGGAGGCTTCTACACACACACCGACAGGGAGGAACGCGAGGAAGCCGTCGTCATTCACACCTCGGCTGTCCAATTACATACTGGAGGCACACCCTTATCATTATGTGTCAAAATTCACCAAAGGAATGTAGCATTGAGGGAGCCAGTCGAAGATGTGATTATGTAGTGAGTAGACACATCATTTAAAGCGCAAAAAAAAAAATGCACTCAGCACAATAAAATGCTTTGAAGTTTCAAGTAAATAAGTCAAAAAGGTCAACGCTGATTAAGACAGATAATGGTGCCCATGCAGACACACCGAAAACAGATGCGCCGGAGGTTTGATTTCAAAGAAGAATTCTAAGTTTATTTCGTGGCACACTGTGCATCAGCTTAATTGCGCTCTGAAAGAAAATCACAAAAATAATCATTTGCAACGCGTCAAAAAGATGGCGCATTAGCAGTACTTTTGGCGAATATTTTATTCGCAAGTCTATATTTAGAATCACAAATTGTCATAAAACATGAAGGAAGAACAGAATGTGGTCAGTGGATGGACATATTTAGTTTTCTTATACTATCCACAGTTCGGAGATTTCTGCCAGTTTTTTTTTCTCCCTTTTCGAATTTTCCACCAAGCATTTTACTGAAATGCTCTTAATGTGGTGACGAAGTCCAGGCCCCACATGTTTCTCATGGCGAGGTGCTCATATGGGGCGTAAGACATCATTGGGCCGAGGAATCCAGTCTTTGAAATATCATGGCTTTCTTTCGCGATGACTCACGAAGCCTCGGCAAGATGGCACGAGCGCGTCATTTAAGGCTTTAGTACGTCTTATAATGAGAAAGGAGAAAGCCGCGGCTGCGCTTTCTTGTCACAAGCCTTTTGGGTGGATAACATCTGTCGAGCGGGGGCAAGAGTGGAAACAGACGTCATGATGTCACACTTCAGTCTGGACTGTTGATTGTGTTCTTCCTGCCTACGCTTCTGCTCGCTTGAACCCCTCGCCGCTATGAACGTCTGCATACCCTGTGCATGTGGTGTTTATGCTGGCACCTGGAATATCAGAGGGCTACACTGCGCAGCTCCACAGGAATGCGGACACAAACACAGGGGGGGGCGGGGACCCAATCACAAAAGGGCGTGTATTACGCTTCACGCCGTTAAGACCGATCCATTGGTGTCGATCTAAAATGTCGACTGAAATGGAGGCGGAAACACTACCCTGGAATATCAACAGGGTGTGTACGGGTTTAATGAAGCCAAAAGACTTTTAAAGACCCTTTTGAAGGTCTCTTCGATCAACTTCAGAACTCTCGATCACCAAATGTGACGCTTATGAGTGGATGCACTCTGTATACACGCTTTATAAAATGAAATCTTTTTTTTTACTCTGATTGCAGCTTTTGGCGTGTGCGTGGCCTACAGTGGCGTGCAAAGGCTCGGTGGATGCTCTTGCCGAGCGCAGGATTAAAAGAACAGTGCTGGCGGTGGCTCTTAAAATGTACTTTTAATGAATAGAATATGTGCTGCGCATTGGGAAAGCAGAGAATCTCCTTTTCGGAAATCTCTTTGCAAAAGGCTAATGGTAGGGGCAACACTGAGGCGTAAGCATGTGCTGAGTAATGCATCTGCAACTAAGGACGAAGCTATAAAAAAAAAAATAAAAAAAAACAGCAAAAATATGACCGCATGCTGTATGACTTCCACAGCTGTCTGCTGTGAAAAGACGCATCTGCCAAGTTGCACATACGAGCAACAGACTGTTTTAACAGGCCTCACATTTGTCTGAAAGTCATCTCCTGAAAATGCTCAGTGCACAGACAGACCTTTTGAAGATGAGGATACCCCTTCCTTAAACACAGACAGACACACACACACACACACACATAGTCTGACGCAGCACACCTGTTTTGTCACTCAAACGAAATGTGTCCCCCCTTCCACTGGCTCTGCTTGCCCTCGTTGCCCCAGAGAAAGGCCCCGTTTCCCAAGGGAGATTTCAGGAGTACCCGTCTGCATCCACACAGCACGCAGGTCCCAGCCCCCCCCCCTTCGGTCTGCACAAAGGCTCCATTGTGCGGCACAATGCTGGCTGCCCCCTCTGAATTTCCCATCTACCCC